GGCCATTCTATTTTTTGAAAAATTTTTTTTTGTGACATTATTCACCTTATTCAAATTTTAATTTGCGCCATTTTAAAATAACTAAACAATTTTTATTTTACAAATTAACATATTGTATTTTTATGTATAGTAAATAGCTAAGTAAAATTCTGGATAAATAAATATTATCAGTGTAATGCGTATACTTTCTGTATACTAAATATATTAAAAGCGAAGTACAATTTTGGATAGTAAAAATTAGATCAAAATAAATCATCATATTATAATAATTATAAATAATGTTTGTATGTGTGTGCATAGGCGATACTACGGGTCAGGCCAGTCAATCCATGGCTTGACCTAATACTAGAGTTCCCTATTTAACGTGTATACGTTTCAGGTGTTCATGTGAAATTAAGGTTTAATTTATAAATCCCGTTGCTTAAAATTTCACGTGTATTTATAATTTTATCCACGTGAATCTGTTAATTTATATAATCACGTGAATACGTGAATTGACATAATTATGTTCGTCGCTTATCGGACCTCGTATGTAATGACTATGGATAATCTAGGCCCAGAGGTGGATTTATCTTTTTTACGACTATAGGCACCAACAATTTGCCGCCCCTATATAGGCGAAGAAGTTATAGTACCTCTTCCGAAACACCTAATCTAAATATTAAATATACAAACGTATGAACATTCGTTTGAATTTTTAGACTATTTTTTTCGTTTTAATTAATTAGTCTACTTTGAAAAAATGCCATTGGATGTTCCCCAAATTTTAATAAAAACAGATTTTCATAATAACAGTATAGGATTATTAACATACATTCGAATTAGTAGTATAGTGTGGCAGTGGGGATATTTATTTTTCCCCGAAATTCTGACGATAACATATTAACAAAATGCACCCATTATTATACAATTATTTTTCGTAAATATAAAATAAATAATTTTCCAATTTTTTTGGCATACGTTTAATGTTTTCTAATAAAACATTACAGAATTAGCCGCCCCTAAACTTTGCCGCCCTAGGCAGGTGCCTACAGTGCCTAATGGGAAATCCACCTCTGTCTAGGCCTAATATTAACTACAACTGTTTAGGTACGTTTTGTAAATATTATTAATAACTAATGTTTTAAATTATGACGTAAATAGTTTAATATTAATTAATATACATAAGTGAGTACTCCAAATTAATTTATGTGTTATGAATGTGTGTGTGTGTGTGTGTGTGTGTGTGTACTGTTGTCGTTGACCGTGAAAATGGTTTATTAATAAATTGTCATACGGCGATAGCGCGATTTGGTTTATCAGGTCTAACCAATATTACCATGTTGCATAAATAATATCTGAACGGAATTTGATTATTTTATATTTGCATACATCGAGATCAATATTTAGGACATCAAGTATTTAAGAAAATTAACATTTATTTGAATAAATAATTAAAAATATATTTTATTAATTACCTCTTTCCTATGGATTTTTCTTTTCTATAGAAAGTGTTCATGGCTTAATACCATGAACACTTTCTAAATGTCTTATTAAAGACCCAGTAATGCCGCCTACTCAATAATATTCATTGTTACCATCACCGTCACATAAATCGTAAAAGCGCGATCACCTTCACGTTTGGCATAATCCAATACCCAACTTTTTCTTTTCACCATTTTCACCAAGAAAACTTTTATTTTTTAATGAATACGGTCACTTAAAGGTTGCACGCAAACTAAACGCGTCGTATACTACGTTAATATCTAATTATTATCAAGGTATCGATAAAGTCATGAAAAGGGGATTTCATTACATACATATAGGAATTTTTATTCGTATATATGAGAGTTGCTTACGATTGTATATTGTACAATTGTAATTTGTATCATTCAATCAAAATTATGGTATCAGTGTGTGAGTTCTATTTTCGCAACCGGACACCGTGAATTGCCATGAGCACATAAAGATTTCCCGGCACACCATTACCTTATCCAACTAGATAAGTCACACGCGACAGGCACTACAGAGTTCAATAAAATATCATGAAGCTATAGCTTTATTGATTATAATCAATAAAATTATAAATACATTTTCAAATAAAATCAATTTTTGTAATGGAATATATGACCATCATGTAGGTATCATTAACAAAAATTAACAAACACTTTTTGTATTATAAATAACTATTTTTTATACAATCATATTTTTGATTAATGCCAATTCACGTGAATATGATTCAGATACGTGCTCACGTGATTAAGCTTTCATTGATTGCCGTGTATTAACCATACGTGATTTATTTTGATTCATTCACGTGATCACAATATACGTGAACACGTACATTCATATTCACGTACGAAAACGAGATCCCTACTAAATACCAACAATAAATATGTATATATTATATATTTTAATAACTATTTAGGCATTATAAATGATATATTTATACATGTAAACGTATACATTTGTACGTTTCATATAATACTATAATATAATATAGTATATAGGTACAATTGGTACAAATAAGGATTATAATAGAACATAATAAGTCTATTCTGTATATTCGAACAATCTGTTTTATTTCTTATTGTTTAATTTAGACATTTCACGTTTATTTTTATAATTATATTATAATAATTAATAGTTAATTTTACGTAATAATACTTTTTATATTTTTCATTTGGCCTGACCTAATAATAGTGTCTAGTTTCGCCTAAGTATGTGTGTGTATAATATAATCATATATTTTTACCTGCAGCAAAGATGACTTTGAACATTTTTACTATGTTGTGAAAACTGATTGTTCATCGAAAATCTCAGGCAAAGCAGAGTTTAGAAAAAAGTTGCCTACGTTCAAATAAATATTGTTTGAGTTTTTTTTTTCTTTAGATGTATTTGTTATATATTATATTTATAATTATATTTAAATTATATTTCTTATATTTATTCATCGAATATTCTCGGTACATGTCCATGACTCATAGGAGACGCTGTCAAGTTAACAGCTGAATATATTTTTTTAATAGCATCAAAGAAATTCTCTTTTCAGGGGTTAATCGAATATAAAAATAATAGTGTCAGAAACTACTAACCATTTGTAAACCGTATCGTACATATATTTTTATATCGGTACACTTTTCCACTTAAATGTTCGTCTGCCTTGATAATTAGACCAGACGAAGGTTACGACGCCACGCATTATCTGTAGCTACCCGTACCTGTCACGGGTGTCTCGACTATTTAATGTGAGTTACGTGATTGGAAAGGCATCTAAAGACGCCTGAATGGTCAACGATTTACATAGGAATGTTTTCACTATAATCATTAGAGAAAATAATATGATGCATTTAGGAATACAAAAAAAAAAATCATATTGCACAGCATATTTTAATAGATTCACTAAATAACAACTACAATAAAAAAAGGCTTTCATATACTTCATGCAATATTTCAGAAAAATGTATTAAAATATTTTAGAATAAATTACACTTAATCTGAGCAATATAAATCAAATTACGGGCCCTAGTTAAAATACTCTAATACATAAATAGTAAAGCCCCGTTTACAATTATCGGGGAATGCCCAAGTACACCCGACATCCACCGTATGCATATCTATGAATACTTTAATAGTATTATAATACAACTGAGTATACTGGTAACTGGGTACATCCTCTATTAGAGAATGGCCCACAACAAAAAAAAAGATTGGAAAAATTATTTTTATTGATGTCCAATGACTTATCCCACAAATTAGGTCGTTTTTCAATAATTGATTCATTGAAATCGTCTTCCATTTTCTGTCTTCCAAACGACACGTCGAACACACAATTGCTAACCACTGAGGAAACATTGAAAACTTATTCAAGATACTGGAAAATTTTGTTCGAGTGAACGTCACAATGTAAATGTAATTACTACTTTATTACGCGTTCGTTAAAATACATTCGATATTTATTGTATCGTACTGACAAGTTCGTACGATATTCGAGAAAAAATTCATGAATACAGTATTTTACCGCATGGACTTTGTGTGAACGTGCAAATTTAACACCCGTTTCCACTGCTTTATTCGATTAAATCCTGTATACGATATATGGTAAAACATTGTCGTCAGAACGTACATGTATCGACAAACTGCTGACGGTGCCTTTCACGTACAGGTGTGTTTAATACTATAAAATACGTTACCCACTCGAAAACATTGGTATTGATCGAGGTGGCATGTAAACATTGTCTCTGTGACTTAACCGAATAAAATATTAATTATAATTATTGAATTATTGTTAGTATTGGTCATACTTTGTCAAAATTAGCTGAACGACCCGTAGTGATTCACAATTACAACCACGTATATGATAAATATATGTAATAATATCACTGATTAAACTAATCATCCAATACATATGTCAAGTCATGATATCACATTCATAGTCTCGTGTACGTACTGTATTAATATGTTAGTTGTGTTTTGTGTTTTATAATTGAGTTCAAACTTATATATAAATCTTAAGATTTATAATAAGTTTCGATGGGTTCAGCAAAATTAGTGTACAATTGTCGGGTGCGACTCGTTTGCGCACATTTACCTTTTTTATGACACGATTGCGCACAAAATCACAACTCGTTTGCGCACACATATTTTAGGTTTAAATAATAAAGGTACAACTCATTTGAGCATATTTCCTTTCTTTTGCTTAATTTTAATTAATTAATAGACTGTATAAAATAATAATATATATGCATATTGTATATAAAAAAAATAATATATAAATTAAGATTTAACTATTTTGCATTTCTAAGTATTTATTATATAATTTAACATCGAGCGACCAGATATTGGCGAGAATAAGATATATATACAACAATATAATACAGATAAAAGTAATAATAACGTCAATGATTATACGCGTAAACAATACTGTCAATTATTAATTTAATATTACAAAAATTAAAATATTTTAAAAAACATGCATTGTAGGTTTAATAAGTAATAATAGTAGTCTATTAGTTATAAAATTATACTAATTTAGAATGATGGCATTTAAGTCCGATTTTCTTTATATAAGTTAAACGATTAATAATATTATTTTTATATTCATTCCAAATGTTTTCCAATTGTATCTCCTTATTAATTATCTCTTTTCCTTTGAAATTTATGATTTTATTGTTTATTGAATTAATTTTTAAATCAGTGTCACTTTGAATTTCAATAATGACGTCGATTACTTGATGTATGTGCGGATGAGCAGAGTAAAACTGACTGTTATATTGTTTGTGATAACTCTCTGCACCATTAGTAGTCTTAGGATTATTAGTAGGTTTATAAGTCCATAATGTTGGAGGAAAATTGCTGTCCGATGCAATGTAATTTTCTAAAATATAATCGGAAAATATAGAAATATTACTAGACGTAGTACTTGGTGCTATCGACATAAGATCACAAAATCCATCAGAAACTTCGTCAGGAGGTAAATAACTTAATCCAAAAAAACATTTCATCCATTCGCCAACTTCTGAGTCGTTGTTTAAGTACTCGCTCGATAATAATTTATGTTGTTGAATATGTCTAAACCAAATTTGCCCTAAATGAAAGTTACAACACGTGATTTTGCAGTAAGGGAAAATTTGCAATACTGCATTATGCGCAGATTTTTCAAAGTCGACATGAAAATTGCTTAAATTTATTATATTACCAGTAATTTGAATACATATATTTTGTAATGTTTTCCACATATTGATGTAAGTATCAGTATGTTTGTTACTTAAAAAACAAAACGCCACAGGAACATAAAAATTGTTTTTAAATACGTGAATAGTATAAAGTTGAACAAAATATTACGCTTTCCTAATACACGACGATTATTTTAAATCATTATATATTGATATTGATATGCTGGTAATTTGTGCTGATAATTTGTACCGATAATTCAATTACTTTAGGTAAGTCCAAATTTAAAAATATAAAATACATGTTACTTAGTGATTATGTTGTGCGCAAACGAGTCGTCCGTTTACAGGTAAACGACTGATTTCGTTGTGCGCAAACGAGTCATCGATATCCAGGTAAAAAATTTAAATTGTGCGCAAACGAGTTGCACCGCGATTGTCAACCCACGTGAAGTTACATTAATAACAAACCGTAAATAATTATATAGAACATTTATTTTATGAGATTTATGAGCCGGGCAGCAATTAAAATCTGATAGATTCAATAATAAATAATAAATATGCGTTTTATATGAGTATGGAAATAACAATAATCTACCGTGAATTTTTAACTTCATAAGATTTTTTTTTTTATCGAACATTGTTGTAGATTCACTACTATAATTCAGTCATTTTCAATTTAATAAACTCAAGGTTTTAGTTTTTGTGACACTCATAATTCAAAATTTAAAAATATGTAACTATTTACATATGACTCATTTTATAATAGTTTGGACGATTTATTTAATTCATTTTATTTTCCGAGACGGACGATAAAAATAATAATAACAACGGTGAGTTATTTGATTTCGATTTAATTACTATTTATTACGTATCTATCAAAATCTAGTAAGTAGTATTAGTACAAGTATTTAATAAAGATAGAAGCTTACAAAGATCTAAAAACTTGTAAAAACTAATAACAAAGTGTAATTACATTTTATAAATCAAAAGAGTTGTGGTTCTAATGCCATCTACGCGTAGAAGCGTCACAACATTTTCGCCGCGGCATTGGATTCGATATTGGCGCCCTTGGTGAATTTTATTTTTGCACTTATTTTTGTTTTATTTTATAGATATAATTTTAATATAAATGTAATAATATAACATTTCTACATGTTAATCAAAATAACGCTATATTTTTTTAAATAATTGAGTCTTTATAGTTAATGAGTTATAATATATATATATATATATATATATATATTGTTAATATTATGTAAGTCTTAATTTTCTATAGATATTATATTATAAAGTAGGATATATGCCATCATATTAGTTAAATAATCGGAAAAACCATTCGTTGGTGGTAATCATTATTATAGCCGTTTATCAGTGTATAATATAAGTGTAAAAGTAGTAAACACTAATAAATAAACATCATCAAGGTGCAATCGAATATGTAATGTTTGTGTATCACACATTTACGCTTAATTTTAATAAAACTTAAAATAATATATGAGAAAAAAAAATGTTATATAAAAAAACCAATTTTAATTTAACTCAAATGCGCCCCTAACTTTACAGCGCCCATGTCGCCAACCTCTAGTTACGGCATTGTCGGTGAGTATGTGTGGGACCGACGTGTGATCCATTCATCACATCCACATCCAATATCATTTTTTGTACACTTTAATAGTGTTTTAGTTCCCCTTGATATTATTATTTATTAATTAACGGCGATGTTTTACCTTACCGTTATGTCTTCACAATAAAAAGTAATTCCGAGAATAATAAGTGTTGTAATTTTTGTGATGCACATTCTTTAGTCCCGTCACGCACCACAACACTGTAGTTTTTTAAATTATTTTATGGCTATTAACATATGTATTAAAATATAACAGCCTTAACTATGGTTAAATTACAAGGCAACCAAAAAACATAATTAATTTTCTCAATTATTTTCAATGCAATTGTCAGTGTTTAATTTTAATAATCTAAAAAATGAATGATAAGAAGTTCAAACAAAATATATCTGTTGATGACTTCGAAGATTTCAAGATCAACAATGATCCGTTATGCTTCGATAATTGTCAAAAGGCAAAAAGTGCTGATTTTCTAGACAATTTCGATACGAAGGATAAATCATCACAAATTTCAGCATCAGATTTTAAGATATCTATCGTTTTAAACGAAAATACTTTTAGATCTCTTGTGTTAACAGAACACAAGAAAACTGGTAGAATATATGTTGCTAAAGTATTCAAAAAGAAGAAAATTGTCAAATATAATCTAGTGAGTTTTTAATTTTAATTCTTACCTAAAAGATATTATTATTTAGAAAGTTGGTTCTTAAACTAATTTTTTACGTGACATTAATTCTTACCATTAATCAGTCATTTTTCTACTAGAAGTTTTCGTTTACTACTTATTCAAATATGATTTAACAATTCAGGTTTTGGGTTAACCCAAATATTTCATTCAAATTTCGGTTAATTTGGGTACGGTCGAATTGCATTTGGGTTGAAAAAATGTAATGGTCGAACCGCACTCGAGCTTAAAAAAGGTATTTCAACAAAAGTATCATGCATTTGAAGGGATTAAACATTTATAAAACACTCATTTCCCTTTCTAGTTATACAATATTTAAATTTAATGCCTCACTGGCAAGAAAAATAGTAAACTATAATAAATTGTTGGCCACATGAACAAATAAATATAATAATAATAATAATAATAATATTGCCACAATAGCGAGTACAAAAACAAATATATGAAAAATAATAATGTGTCGATGACCTCATACAAACAACTAACGAAGATCGACAGCAGATAAGTGGCACTCAAAAACGGCCGACGAACAAAATAAAGAAAAAAAGATTATAATCATATGTGATTCGGTTTCAATATCATAGTAACATTTTTAATTGACAATCAAATTCACAAAATACAAAAAAGTGGAAAATGGATCGGCGCACATTTAGCTCGTGTCAATTATGGTCGGCGCGAAAAATTGGCATGGTTGAAAATTATTTTTTTAATGCTCACCATTGTGTTAAAATATTATATATATTTATAACATTTTTAAAATCTTAAAATTAATTAATTACTATTTCCGTTGATTACGCCATCATCACACGTGAACGGCTGGACCGATTTCGCTAATTCTTTTTTTTGTTGTGTGTTATTGTCAGAAGGTTCTTATGAAAGAAAAAATTAAGAAAATTGCACTGAAAATTAGAAAATTTAAAAATAGTTAACCACCATATAAAAATATTTCTAATCTAACCTTAACACTTTTAATTAATAAAACATTAAATTTAAATTAAAATTGATCAAATGGTTAATACTCGTACATAATATAATTAATTAAATCAAATATTATTATCATCATCATTATAATTTTTTTTTTAACTTTTTTCAATCATTTAACTGTATATAGTAATATAGTAATAACTATATGAATTCAAAAACTATAATCTGTTAATACGCTTTTGAGCATATAAGTTAATATATTTTTCAATATCTTTTATTTTTTTCTGGTACCGTATTATTGAAAGTCTTATGCCAGTATTTTGCATTAAAAATTTGAAATTGTGGCGTAGCATTCATCGATATAATATTCATAATATTTATAACGTATTAATAAAGGCGTCTTCTTTTTGAAGACGTGTATAGTGGAATCAACATTTTTCGTGTACAAGTCACTAAAAATGTTTAGCTATATCCAAAAATACGGTTAAAACCATTTTTATACACGTACACGTAAAAGATCATAGTGGAAACCCATCTAAAGTTTTCACTTCTTTTCTTGAGCAAGTGCAGTTCGACTATTTTTTTTTTTTTTTTTTGGGGTAATAAGTGCAATCATGGTTAACACGGTTGTTTATTTTTTCAATCGGTTTTGAATACACGGGTTTTACATTATGCCATTTATTCGGGTTAGTGTTGGCATTTCTTAATCATGATAAATCAGTGTTTCATTATATAAGATAATATAAGGTTATCTCTATAAGATAATTATAGAGATTTATTTTATATGCATATTATACGATGTTCTCAAAAAATACAAAATCATTGTAGATGTATCAAAAACTAAAAAGTAAATAGATTATTAAATCGTACATTTTTTTATGAAGAGGGGGGGTTATACATAAGTCACCTCACCAAAAAAATACTACTAAAACCACCATTGGTATATTATATGTAAGTTATATCAAAGTCAAATTAATATTTACAAATATTTTATGACCCTTTGTCCTCTGTAAGTATGACTACCTTCCAATTGATTTCACTAGTATTTATTGATAGAAATTTTATCTATAATATATCTACCAATACAAATAAATCGATATAATATATTTCCAGATGAAACGGATAATGAACGAGAAACGGATTTTAGAGTCCATCGATTTCCCTTTTGTCGTTCATCTGGAATATTTTTATCAGGATCGGGATTTCATATATTTAGTAATGCCATTTGTAAGTGGTGGTAACCTTGACATGTACATAAAGCGATACGGGAAAATGGATGAGGACAAAGCACGATTTTATTTGTCCGAAATTATTCTGGCCGTCGAGTATCTGCACAAATTGGATTTGTGTCATCGCGATATTAAGCCCCATAACATAATGATCGATATTCAAGGGCATGTTCAACTCACAGATTTTGGGCTTTGTAAACACATCACGCGTCATACGTATTCATTTTGCGGTACTTTAGAGTACATGGCCCCGGAGATATTACACAGACAAGGTATGTCTATGTAATAAAAAATGTACAAATATTACGTACAAGTAGGTTTCTCCAACGATATTTTTTTTGAATATCGATATCGTTTGATTTTTTGCGATACTTAATCGTGATAACGAAAAAAAATTTAAATATCGATATCTATATTCTTATTTATTGCTACCCTTACATCACTATGGACAGCAGCTAAGGGTATACGTTTATAATTAGCCATTATTAATGATTACTCATTAATATAAAAAAAACCGTTACAATGTTTATGAATTAAACGAAATTAATATATTAATAATAAAACACAATAACTATTAGAATGATTTAAAAGAACAAAATTGAAGTTATTAACTAAACCGTCACCATCAAAAACGATAACTGACTTTAATACTAACGCTAGAAAATACTTCTTTGTATCATTGGTCAAATTATTTTTCCATTATTATACGTTATTTTTGATCGTATCTTGAAAGAAATAAAAACTCATGCATTGATAATATTATATTTTTTTATTATAATATACAAAAGTGAAAAGTATATTTGATTACCGATAAATCGTAAGATATATTTAAAATTAATATTCAACGGTTGCCTCACACATCATATGAACCATTATTATTATATTTAAACATTGATACTCTTCAAGTCAGAAGGGTAAAACATGATATTTATTTTTATATAAACTTTTAAATGGTTATATTTACTGACCAGATCTATTGTCAAATTTATCTTTTTTAGTTCCTGGCCATACAACTAGATAGACTGATACTTTTTATGTGCCATTCCAACGTACTGTATATAGTAAGAATGCCCCTGTATTAGATTCATGCAGCAAGTAATAAATTTAATATCAATGTTTTTATTTGTAATTCAGTTGCTTCTTTTAAATTTTATCTTAATAATTTAGTAATTTAATCACTTAACATAATATTGTACAATAATAACAACAACAAAATGTATTTATGTATATATTTATATATTCCATATTTTCATTGAAATTGGGCTCGCCCGTTTAATAAATAAAATAATAAAAAAAAATATCGTTATGGATATCATATTGAAATATAGATATATTTGGAGAAGCCTAGTTACAAGTATTACGAAATTTAAATGTCGTTAAGTATTGTATTTAAAATGAATTTAACATGCACCTGGTTGAATTGGTATTTGTATTTGTATATCAACCTTAGATTTTCTTATTATTATTATATTAAGATTATCTATATATTGTAGATGTACAAATAGTATTCATTGTTAATATTTTAAGTAGGTATCTATTATTAATACAGTGAGAAACATTATGGTGTTTTGTTTTATGATAACTAGTCATTCTCATAAGTAATAAGTAGGGCTCGATTTTTAGCATATGCTTTATCGGTGAAAATATACGATAGAATTATAGAAAGATAATTCTTAGATATGAATACAATTTGAATGATTCTAGTTACAACGAAATACATTTTATTTGGTTTTTATTTCAGAATATATTTGTATTATATTACTCTATTATATTGTTGCCAGAAACAAGTAAAACCGTTCTAATGTAATGCGGTAAAATAATGTAATAGTTATTTAAAAATATTATTTTGCAACCATAAGATGTTGATAAAACTTATCTTTTTTCTTCTCGTAATATTTGTTCAATGTAAACCATAGTGCTATTTTCAATTATTTCACAAATATTCATATATAATGGCTTAAAACGTGTTAACCATAACGTCGTTTTGTTTCGGATGTCAAATTGTGCATGAAAAAAGCTGGCCGCCGTATTGAAATTAAAAATCTTTACATCCGACAGAATGTTCTTTGTAACGTGCGCGAAAAAAACATATTCTCGATAATGTATATAAGGAACGTCGTGATTTTTATATATTTTTTTTTTTATAAATCTATAAGCTTTATAGTATTAATATTAATAATTTGTAATATTAATTCAATTAGTAATTAATTCTTCAAGATATGTACCTAACATCATGCATGCAAATGCGCAGGGCACGGGAAATCGGTGGACTTTTGGTCTATGGGAGTTACGCTGTACGAATTGATAGCCGGCCATTCGCCGTTCCTGAACGTCGACCCTAGTACGATGTACAAGAACATCTTGAACGCACAGTACAACTGTCCGCTGGGCTTTTCAGGTAATCTAATAAACCTACTGCGAAACATGCTCAGAGTGGACGTCACCAGACGGTACGGGAACCTAGTGAATGGCTTCCAGGACATAAAAAAGCACAGGTGGTTTCATGCGACGGACTGGTGCGCGTTATTCAACAAACAGATCACACCGCCGTTCGTGCCGACGATATTTGACGCCCAGGACATTGGAAACTTCAAGAATCAAAGAAGCGATAAAACGTTCCTGCAGTCCACCAGTGAAACAAATTTGTACGACGAGGAATTTAAGGATTTTTAAATCATACGGTTTATTATTATTGAATTTATATTATACAGGCTATTTAGGTTTAAAAAAAAAATTTTGGTAAGTTAGAAACGATTTATATAAATATACTAAAATATTGTATAGCTACCATATTGTAATTGATTGCTTCAAAATATGCAATAATAAGTAGGTATTAGAAAATATTGTGATAATAATTAGCCATCAATGAGCACTTCATCTAATAATCAATAGAGGAAATTGGACTCTGGATTAGGAGAGACGAAATTTAAAATAATTAAATTGAATGGTAATATACAGTTAGGTATAAAAAAATAAATAAACAATATATTAATAAATATATCATAATAATTGCAAACTCATTTAATACTTATATCACTTCGTAAGTTAAATTTATTTTTACATTTTTTGTTTTTCGAAAAGATTGATAATTCCGTCAATAAATGGGATAAACTCCTATATGAATGACCTTTTTACCTGAATTTAGAACATAGTGTAACCTCCTAGACTTATACTCCTACCTATCCCTTTTTACCTATCATTAAAATCTGATGTAAACTTCTACACAGACCATTTTCAGATAGGAATCATGGGCGTATTTTAGGAGGGGCGAAGGGGCAATTCCCCCTGAATCCGTATTTAAAAAATTGATTTTATGTGAGATACATATTTCAAATTTATTTAATGTGGATCATTTTATAATGAAATCAAATTACGCGTGGTTGTGAATATTGAATTAGGCTTTTTATGAATTAGGCTAACAATGAAAAAATATTTTGACTACAAGAAATATTTACAAAACAACTGCACCATCTTATTTAATGTCTATAAATTAAGTTGTAAAATATTTTAAAAATTAAAATATGCATCATACTTCCATAATTGAACAATAATTTTTTTAACACAGAATCGTGTAAAAAAAAAAAAAACGTATTAAATAATACTCTTTCCATACACAAAACATAAGTAACTACACGGACATCAAACACACACACACACAATTACTTACGAACATAAAATTACGTTGATAAGACAATTTTATAAGTTTGTAATATTATTTTTTTTCCGTTTGACATTTTAAAATAAAATCTCAATTTTACTAATTACTTTTGGAATGCAATGAAAATAAGAAAATCGAAATTAGTACTAATTATTTGCAGGACGTAGAAATAATACAATAGATGGAATAAATTAATGTCTGGTTTTGTTTAAAATAAGTTACGACGAACAATATCCAGCAAGTTACAGAACTACAATTTTATTGAAAAATTACATAATGTATATAACTTTACTATAAGTATGGGTCTGTTTGTATGTAGGTATAAAGTGGTAAATCTATTAAAGTAGGCTGTTCAATATGAATTTTTTTTGTATTCCTAAATGCACCATATTACTTTCTCTAATGATTATGATGAAAACATTCCTACATGAATCGTTGACCATTCAGGCGTCTTTAGATACCTATCCAATCACGTAACTCACATTAAACAGTCCAGACACCCGTGACAGGTACGGGTAGCTACAGATAATGTGTGGCGTCGTAACCTTCGTCTGGTCTAATTATCACGGCAGACGAATATTTAAGTGGAAATGTGTACCGATATAAAAATATATGTACGATACGTTTTACAAATGGATAGTAGTTTCTGACACTATTATTTTTATATTCGATTAACCCCTGGAAAGAGAATTGCTTTGATGCTATTTAATAAATATTTTTTAACTTGGCAGCGTCTTCAATGAGTTATAGATATGCACCAAGCTTATTCGATGTGTATATAATGAGATAAGGAATATTTCTCAAAACAGAGAAACTCGAACAATACCTAATTGAAATTAGGAAATTCTATGTCATTAATTTTTTAAACATGTCATTATAAAATCTTAAATATTTATATCATGTCGATGATATTAATTTTTTATGGTACAATGGAATATGTAAAATAGCAGTAAATGTAATTTGATTTAATACTAAACACATTTTTTGTATAAAATTAGTTTAATCAAAAAAAAAAAGCAGTCAATTAATTGGTATCCATAGGTGTAATAAGCAAATAATCTTCAGCTTCCCACAAATTTCACCAAATTTCCCCTTATGGTTTGTGACGCGTGCACACACTAAAAACACACTAGCTAAAACATAGCGTAATACAAAAATAATAATAATTTGTACTTATGAATGTTACGATGAAATTATTACACCAACGAAAATTGACAATTCACACCATAGGCGTGTACTACACGCTACACACTGAACAAATACGAATAACGCGAACAATAATTTAGGTAATCGTACGCGAGACATCAATTCTATTTCAGATTTACAGTATTGCAATAAATAACGACTCGGTGATTCGTAGAAGACCTATCACCTATTAAATTATAATAATACGATCTATCTGCTAGGGATAATTTTATTTCTCCTGTGAATAATAATTTTACTATTAAACAACTAATGTCAAAATTGAAATAATCACAAAAAATACATACAAAATGATATGTCACATAAAGATTGTATAATAAAAAATTATTCGAGTTTTGGGTTAAAACCAATATTTTATTCGGGTGTTTAAAAAAAAAAAATCATTCGGGTTATATGGGTTTCGGGTGTTTGATTTTTTAAGGGTTTTTAAGAGGTGTTACGGGTTCGGGTTAATTAGGATGCAAAGCCCTAGTAATCTCATTTCTCATAGATATTCTCAAACCACGGGTCATACAATAAAAAATAAAAAACTATTAAAACTATTAAAGTAAAACAAAAAATGTCAATGTCTGTCTAGCGTGTGATACAGATTCATGCCTGTTACCAAATAACGAAAATTTAATATTAAATACAGAAGTTTATACAGTAATTTGGTACTAGAAATAAA